AGACATAAAACTGTGAGCTATACTCCACAACAGAATGGAGTTGCCGAGAGGCTTAATAGGACAATTCTTGAAAGGACCAGATGTATGCTAATCAGTTCTGGCCTTCCAAAATTTTTTTGGGGTGAAGCTGTAAAAACAACATGTTATCTTATAAATAGATGCCCCTCCAGCTCTCTAAATAACAGAATTTTCCAACAAATCTGGTCTGGTTCAATGCTAGATTACTCTCATCTAAGAATTTTTGGATGTGCAGCCTATGCACATCATATTAAGTCAAAATTGGACCCTAGATCATTGAAGGGTGTGTTCTTAGGATATAGAGAAGGTTTTAAAGGCTATAGATTGTGGTTAAGAGATGTGAGGGGTTATAAGGTGATAACAAGTAGATCTGTTATCTTTAATGAAGATGATTTCCCTTGTCTTAGTGACAAATCTAGTGAGAAATTGGGAAAAGATGACTTCATTATCACAGAAATTAATTTTGATAGCCACAATACTGATGACCGGGCTCAGTTTGAGGTGGAGCCACATCAGGTAGTACCCCAAAATAACTCTGATGTTGAAATAATTGAAGATGAACAGCATCTGGAGCCTGCACATGATCTGCAGGGCTACCATCTTGTTAGGGATAGAGAAAAGAGGGAAATAAGACCTCCACCCAGGTATCAACATGCTGATTTTGCATCTGATCAGACTGAATCTGATCAGTTTGACTTAGAACCAGCCTCTTATGAAGAGGCTATATCTTCCAAAGAATCCCCTAAGTGGATTGCTGTGATGGAAGATGAAATGAATTCACTCTTTAAAAATGAGACTTGGACTCTAGTTGAAAAACCCAAAGATTGCAAATTGATTGATTGTAAATGGGTTTATAAAATTAAAGAGGGTGAGACTAAAGCCAGTGATAAAAGATTTAAGGCAAAACTGGTAGCTAAAGGCTTTTACCAAAAGGAAGGAATAGATTACACTGAAATTTTTTCACCAGCTGTTAGATATACATCCATTAGAATCCTACTTGCTATATTCACACAATTTGTCTTGGAGTTAGAACAACATGATGTGAAAACTGCCTTCTTGTATGGCTCTTTAGATGAAACCATACATATGACTCAACCAAGAGGGTTTGAAGTGGTAGGAAAGAGAAACTTAGTGTGTCTCTTAAAGAAATCCTTATATGGCCTAAAACAGGGCCCTAGACAGTGGTATAAAAGATTTGACTCTTTTATACAAGGCTTGAACTTTAGGAAATCAGAATATGATCCCTGTTTCTATTACAAGAAAGAAGGGGAATCTGATTTTTTCTATATACTTTTGTATGTTGATGATATGCTCCTTACTGGTCACAATTCTATTACACTTAATTCAATTAAAGAAAATCTAAAATTTGAATTTGAAATGAAAGATTTAGGACCAACTAGAAAGATTTTGGGCATGTAAATAAAAAGAGATAGGATAAATGGAAAATTGTTTCTAACACAAAAATCTTATATTGATAAGGTTGTAAAAAGGTTCTCCCTTCATGAGTTTAAGCCTGTAAGTTTGCCTCTATCTGCTGGTATGAAACTATCTGTTGACCAATCGCCTAAAATTGAAGAAGAGCATAAAAGAATGATAAACGTGCCTTATTCTAATGCTGCTGGATCTGTTATGTATGTTATGGTTTGCTCTAGACCTGGTATTGCTTATGCCGTGAGTGTGTTAAGTAGATTTATGAGTAACCCAGGTGAAATACATTGACAATACATGAAAAATCTAATTAAGTACTTGAAAGGAACAAGTAACTTAGGTCTAATGATCAAAACAAATAAAAATGGATTTAGACTTAAGGGATATGTAGATTCAGATTTTGCTGGTAATCCGGACAAAAGGAAGTCCACAACTGCATACTTTTATGTAATAAATGATACATGCATTAGCTGGAAATCTCAGCTTCAAAAACTTGTTGCATTGTCCTCAACCGAGGCTGAATATATTGTTGCAATGGAAGCAGTGAAAGAGGGATTGTGGCTGAAGGGTTTGCTTAGTGAATTAGGTCTTATAGAAAATCAGGCGGAGCTATGTTCAGATAACCAAAGTACTATTTTTCTAAGTAAAAATCCTACCCTGCATGATAGATCAAAGCATATAGATGTAAAGTTCCATTTTATTAGAGATATCATTGATAGGGGTGTTATTAGATTAATAAAAATTCCTACTAAGATAAATCCAGCAGATGCCGGAACTAAGGTAATCCCTATTAGTAAGTTTGTTGATTCTTTAAGATTAATTAATCTTGAAGAAGACTAACTTTCATTATTTTGTTTTTATAGGTAATAAGAGCAAATGAAATTGAGGTATAAGCTTAAATCCACATTAAAGTAGGCACAAAACAGCAAAGGTGGAGAAATGGGTTGCTGTTTTATGTGGAAGCCTAGCCCAAATTTAAGGACTCAGCCCATACCCAGTCCAATGACCCAAAATGAAGAACAATCTCGAAGCTGAAAAATGGTTTTGAGAAAACGTGTTTTCAGTTTTTAAATAACAACTTATACTAGATTTCGACACTTGACAAAATAAAGGCCATTGGATCAAAATGGGTCATCTCTCTTATAAAAGGGGAGTCTAGGGTTTGAGTGGTACTCTCTCTCGCGCAACTTCTATTTTTTCATATTGTTCTCTCTGTAATTTGGTGATTCTTTCTTAGATCTTTGTGTAGATTTCTGTAAAGAGATTGAATCCTTATGAACTCTTGTGTGAGTTCAATTCGGTGTTGAGGGTTTTGATAGTTGCTGTGGTTGGAACTGTGTGTTCCGGTTGTAATCGAAGTTTGTGGTATTTGGCCGGTGATTTTTAGTGGATTTGAGCCTATTCCTTTATGGATGCTCAACGGGGACTAGGCGATTTGTTAAATCGCTGAACCTCCGGGTTTCGGCCGAAAAATCTTTTGTTATCTTTACTATTTTTACAGATTTGCGTCTATACTTGATTTTTGTCTTGAATATTTTTCGGTCTTCATACTTTCCTGAACCTACAACCAAGCCATGATGAGCACCAATAATACAACTTTCATAACATCACATGTTTTGATCAATATCAAACTTAATTTATATAGATAATGCTTTCAAATGAGCCTATCAGCCATCTTGAGAAAGCACAGGGTGCAACACATCTCCAATTTAATAGAAGGATGTCAAAAACATTATTCTGAACAATGCATTTCAAAAGTATAACCTTAGCATTAATGACCTGGACATCCTTTTTACTTCAGTGTTTCATCAAGATTTACCACCACCAAAGGATGACAAATAAAATCTCCATCACGGCGATAAGTTTTTAATAGTACGGATCCATACTGGAATTCTTGATTAATCTTTGCACATAATCAATGACCTACCTTCTTCAGACACTACAGTAGGGTGGACCTTACATATAATCTTCTGGGCCACCTTTTCAGCTCTGCCCGACATTCCCAGCTAACCTTCATCAGGATTCAGTTCGTCTGCGATGTAAAAAGTGATGATGCAATGATAAAGAAGAATGAGCGATAACTGAACTTGAATTTGTGTTAGAATTGATGTGTTTAAAAGGAATAAAAACTTGTGTTTGATAATTAATTAAGAAAATCATTATCAGTGGTGAAGAAAAATCCCGTAATTATTTTAGATTTAGATTCTTGGTTCCACTTAATTTGAATTTATATATTTCTTTTTCCTTAGTTTCATTTTTTGAAGTTTGAATAATCCAACCCGACAATTGTTAGTGCGAAATTACCATTTTGGTTTTAGTCATCTGAATTGTATAGTATGTGTCACCTCAGCTGTTGAATCACTTCATTATTCTTTTCACTTTTCAATTAATAATTAGTTAATTTAAATTAATCCTCTGTGGAAAATCACCCTTGCTAACCATCATACTCAACAACAGCAATAGTTTGCGCTAGGACTTTAAACGCTTTTAGTGTTAATTAGTTGAGTTGAAAAAGATGATAAACTCATGCTTTATATTTCAAAACATAAATAAATACATATCTTTGAAACATTTCTTCAATTTCCTTTCAATAATGCACATGCAATAATAAAAGTTCTGAAGTTATTTGCTAGATCTTCTTTGGTCACAGGAGAAAAATGGGAGGAAGAATGACTATATGCTCTTGCTTTTGCATTTTGCATCTCACGCGCAATGACTGTTTTACACACAAAAGGCACATTCCTTTTGGCTGAAGATTTGTGTTTTCTCACTGAAAAAATTGTATAGAACTGCTGAAGGATCATTTAATGTTGAGCGAAAGAGATATGAGAAGTATAATACCATTGCTTCTATTAGAAGTGGTGTTTTGAATGGCTGCCACGTTGTTAAAGCTATTTTTCTTTTATTTAATTTGAATGTTTCAAAGTTTTTTTTCCTAGTTTTTAGGAGTTTATTGTTTTTTTCAGCAGTGTTGTGTTGAATTGTGGCTTAATTCTAGGTCCATGATGTTAGCGGTCAGTTATGTTATCGTGTTTATAAAGTGCAATTTAGAGAAATGCAAATATAGAATGTCTTTCATCAAAAAAGTTCTTTGTTCTCTCGTTGTTATTCTTCTATTCTTTCTTCACAAGCAAACATTGTTTCTCTGATTTTCAAAATAAAAAGACAACATTTGGTATCAGAACTCTCTTTTTAAGGGACCTTTAATTGTTTAAGATCGAATCCAAGTGATTACCATGGATGCAGAAACTAGTTTTTCATCGATCACACCTCCAGTTTTCGATGGTGAAAATTATCAAATCTGGGCTCTAAGGATGGAAACTTATCTGGAAAGCAGTGGAAGAGCACAATGAAATTTCTCCTCTACCAAATAATCCCACGATGGCTCAGATTAAAAGTCACAAGGATAGAAAACAAAGAAATCAAAGGCAAAGGCCTGCTTGTTTGTTGCTGTCTCTTCAACCATATTCAATCGAATTATGTCTCTAAAGTCAGCCAAAGCTATCTAGGACTATCTCAAGTTAGAATATGAAGGAGATGAACGAATTAAAGACATGCAGGTGCTGAATCTCATAAGAGATTTCGAGTTGCAAAGGGTGAAAGAATCAGAGTTTATCGAGGACTACACTAACAGGCTTCTAAGCATAGCAAATAGAGTAAGACTACTTGGCTATGAGTTGACTAACTCAAGCATTATTGAAAAAATTCTTTTAACTCTGACGGAGAGATTTGAGGCAACAATAATCACCTTAAAAAATACTAAGGATATGTCCAAGATTACCTTGGCAGAATCATTGAATGTCTTGCAGGCACAAGAGCAACAAAGAATCATGAGAGAAGATGGCATAGCTGAAGGTGCATTGCCGGCCAAACATAATGATTATGCAAAAAACAAGAAGAATCAGCCAACAAATGGAGAAAATACTACAAACAGCTACAACAAAGGCAGGAAACTCGAAGGGAAATTATCCTCCATGCAAGCATTGTGGTAAGAAAGGTCATCCACCCTTCAAGTGTTGGGGAAGACCGGATGCAAGATGCAATAAATGTAAATGTAATCAACTTAGCCATGAAGTTGTAATTTGTAAGAGTAAAAATCAGCAACAAGAAACAGAAGCTCAAGTTGTTGGAGAAGAGGAGGAAGATCAGCTTTTTGTTGCAACATGTTTCTCAAGCGGTGAGTTGAGGGAATATTGGCTAATTGACAATGGCTGCACAAATCATATGACTCACAACAGGGAGCTTTTCGTGGATTTGAAGCCTGCTAACACATCCAAAGTCAAAATTGGAAATAGAGACCACATAGCAGTGAAAGGATGAGGTACTGTTGCAATACCAAGTTGTTCAGATACAAAGTTTATCATTGATGTACTTTATGTTCCAAAAATTGATCAAAGTCTGTTAAGTGTTGGTCAACTAATTGAGAGAGGCTTCAAAGTTATCTTCAAAGACAGGCATTGCCTAATTAAAGATGCCACTGGTCAAGTGACACGACCCATCCTGAATCATCCTAGTGGACTCGAAACGTGACGTGTACTGATGATAGATGCTAACTAGATATCAAATCTATCACCAAGGCTGACTATGAGTTACTTCAAGATATGCAACAAAATCAAATATTTATAAAAACATAGTGCAATGGACCCAAAAATTTACTTTGTGGTTTATCAAATTGACTCATATTATTGAATATGCCGTGTGGCTCTAACTCTGAAATCAGTAGGCTCCTCAAGCTATCAAGGACCAATACTACGTGTGAGAAAAATCATGGAAAAAAAAATGAGTTGATAGCTCAGTGAGTGGAAGAGTTAAAAAATAATCATACTTTCTCATTTAAACATTTTTATCAAACATCAAGCTCATATCATTTAATATTTCACATGATCGCCTCGTACAATTATAGACAAAAAGTGAGACATTCTCATAACACTGTAAATATCATCTCATCACATCATATGTGATCCATAAAAAATATACCATCCGACTAAAATCTATAATCCGCCCCTAGGGCTAAGCACTTTCGCCACGGGCTTTTGGCTCCTTCCATGAATGAAAGTGGGTCTCATGACCTTTGGCAATCAATTCTAGAACACGGTCAAGGCCCCTCAGTAAACTATATGTACACGGTCACGACCCCTTCTTCCCTAGTCGACCCTTCAGTGTAGTATAAAACATGGCCAAAGCCCTTCAGTAAATTAGAAGAAATGTATAATCACGGGTACTTTTCTGGTCGATCTCAAGATCACATAATTCACAATGTACCGTATACAATCTTTGAAAGTCACACGCATCATAATAAAAGATACTTCCATAATAACCAGATAATTCCAACACATAATTGCACATACTTTAATAATATACTTAATTCATAAATATTTTTAAAAAATTTATATTTTTCCACTTACAGATCCATGGATAGAAATCTGGCAACGAGCCATTCCAAGCGTTCATGTCTCTACTTGAAATAGCAGTATAATTTCTCAAATTAAAATCAAACAATTAAATTAATACAATTCTCTCTCTTAACTTCTCAATTTATATATTTACTCTTACATCTCCAATTTTCCAACTTTTCTCCTGCACATACTTTAATAATATACTTAATTCATAAATATTTTAAAAATATTTATATTTTTCCATTCACAGATCCATGGATAGAAATCTGGCAACGAGCCATTCCAAGCTTTCATGTTTCTTACCTGAAATAACGGTATACTTTCTCAAATTAAAATTAGATAATTAAATTAATACAATTCTACCTCTCAACTTCTCAATTTCTATATTACTCTTACATCTCCAATTTTCCATCTTTTCTCCTCACTAATGATTTATCAACTAATCACCATTCATTATCAATTCCATTAAATTACTCACACTTCCTTAAAATCAATAACTTATACATACATAAGCCCTATACATAATTTATTCCAATACATAAACTTTAAAACTTGTCATATAACTTCATTCAAGCCTTTAAAAATCTGAAAATAAGAGTTTTGACAAAAAAAAGCACTAAAACCCCATAATATTGAAATCTGGCAGCAAAATCTTTGACAGAATTAGCACTATTTTGGCAGATTTTCAGAATTAACACCTGCACATGAATTTTGCAAGAAAATTGCTTATAAATACCAAAATCTAACCTTAACTTCATATCTTCCTTAATAAATCACAAATAAGGTGTTTTATATCATATACACACAATAGATCAAAGATTCAAGCTCTAAATTACAAACCCATTTCAAAATTCAACTTCTTCAATTTCAATAATCAAATAACATTTCATTGATATATTCTTGCTTAATACCTCAAAAATATAATAATAATCTCTAATTCTTGCTAAACTTCGAATATAAATGAATGGTTCATAAACCCTAGAAATTTAATTAAGTTACCCCTTTAAAATAAGGATAAGTTGAAGAAATGTAGAACCCAAACTTACAAAAATCATCAACCTCTTTCATTTCCTTTCATTTCTTATTTTTTTTCCTCCCTTTTTCACCCTTTTTTCTCCCTCTTTTTATCCAATTTCGTTCTCTGCTTCCTCTCTACGTTTTGTCCCCAAAATGAGAGAAAATGGATATGTTTAAGGTTTTAAATGGATAAGTATGATAGAATTGCAAATCAAGTCCCCACACTTCATGTAATATATCATTTACTCCTTTAATTCCAATAAATATAAACTAAATCCCTAAGGTTCTTGTAATTACAAATTAAGCCCCATAAAATAATTTGTTCAACTTAAGTCCTTATTGACTTTGACTTTGACCAATTTCTTTGCTTGATTTTTGACTAAAAATGAGTGGGGTGTAACATCAAGACATGTTTAAAGTAAGAATAAAAGGGAAAAACTTCACATTTAATCCACTAGAGGAGGAGCAAGCCGTCTTCTTAATCAAAGAAAATGTCACGGAGATTTGGCACAAGAGACTCGGGCATTATCAACATCAAGGCTTGTTGCAAATGAAAGCGAAACAGATGGCAAGTGATCTACCTGAATTTGGTGATCACTCACCAAACTGTAAGGCATGTCAATTTGGTAAGCAAAGTAGAAAACCATTTCCCAAAGAAACATGGAGAGCATCAAATAAGATGCAATTGATTTATACAGACATGTAGGTGCACAAATGACTCTTTCTATGAAAGGTAGTCTCTATTATGCAGCATTCTTGATGATTTCACCGTATGTGCTGGATTTTCTTTTTGAAGCACAAGTCAGAGGTGGCTCAAGTCTTCTGGAACTTTAAAGCCAGAGTTGAGAATGAGAGTGGCCGTAGAATTCAAACTCTTAGATCAGACAATGGCAAGGAGTACACCTCTGAGTCATTCAACCGATTTTGTGAGGAGGAAGGCATCCAACATCAATTAACCGCTCCATATACTCCTCAACAAAATGGAGTAAGTGAGAGACAGAACAGATTCATGTTGGAGATAACAAGATGTATGCTACATGAGAAGAACATACCAAAGCAGTTTTGGACTGAAGTAGCAAACACTGCTGTTTTTTGTAAAACAGGCTTCTCACAAAAGCTATGTAGAATGAAACACCGTTCGAGGCTTGGTATGGACACAAACCATCTCTGAACTTTCTTAAAATATTTGGTTGTTTGTGTTTTACTCACATTCCACAGACAAAGCGTGATAAATTGGACAAGAGAGCATCACTAGGCATTTTTATTGGTTACAGCAATGTCGCCAAAGCTTACAAAGTTTTCCAGCTACAAAATGGGAAAATTTGTCATCAACAGGGATGTGCATTTCATAGATGATCAAGAATGGAACTGGGATGAATCAAGTAAAAATAATCAAGCTTCAAATGACTTGAAGCTTAATTTTCCTCTTCAAAACATAGTAAAACAAAGCTCTGAATATTGGCAAAATGAGCTAGTGGATGACACTCTAGTCAGGGGCACTAGATTGTTTTCTAATGTTTATCGGAGATGCAACATTGCAGTTTGTGAGCCTACAGGTTTTGAAGAAACAAAACTTGATCAAAACTGGATGGTTGCAATGAAAGAGGAGTTATATATGATTAAGAAAAACAAGACATGGCAACTTGTTAAAAGACCTCAAGATAGAAAAGTCATTGGCGTCAAATGGGTGTTAGGGTTAAGATGATGAGCCATTAAAAGTGCCAAAGTCATGACAACCATGGTACAACTAATGTAGTATGTTGTCAAAAATTCTCTGATTTATTCAAAAATTCGAAAGAGCACTTCAACTGTGAAATTGTTTAAAGTATTTCAATCCTTTTGAGAGGAATTATCCTCCTCATTCTGTTCTCCATATTAGTACTATATGACAGAAAATGGAGTTTATTATACACTATTAATTGAGTCCACTATTTACAATGTTGCTAATTTGAATTTATTTAGTGTGGATGAAAACTCGATTTTTTAGTGGATTGCAGTGATACAAGGTTTTGCTTCCATAATGTAGGGATGATTTTTGTCACGTCCTCTGCGTACATGCAACAATAACATGTCCATAATGGGTAATCACAGTAGTGTATTTTTGGAAGCCATTATTGTTCTCAACTGTCGAGAATTACAGAGACCATCTGTCGGGAACGACATATGAACTGTCGGGACGTAATGTTGGTATTTTACTTATGAATTGTCGTCTCATGAAAATCAATTTTCCATTTCAACAAACTATCAATCGAAACTAATGGAACTATAATGATCGGCTAAGTTTATAATAAAAATAACGTATTTATCCTGTTTGTGCTAATGGAACCGTATTGATCAGTACTTTGCTAATGGAAAAAAAAGACCAATTTTTTGTTGGCATATGATAATAACAAAAAACTAATAACGTAAGTTCGGAATGTACATTGTATAGGAGGAACATTTTTGGGATTACATTTGACAACTATTTTTACACTTTACGCTTGTTCACATAGCTTGTCATACAATAAGATTCGAACATGTTGTCCAATTATGATCAACTTTCCTACATCAAGTGCATTTCCTGAGCCAGGTACTGGACTCGTATCTAGCTCGCTTACGTTGAGTGGGTGGTCTACCTGGAGGATGACATACAAGTACCCTGTTGGCAAAATACAAGTACCCGTTATTTCGTTCAGAACAACCCGGTCCACTTCCCGCGTAACAGGAGATATTGCTTCCATATGTGCACACCTCTAGTATTCTATTTGTCATCCGCATGAACAAACTTTCCCCATGCGATACAATAAATCTCAAATGATTACTCATACTTGAAATGTTGGGATTGCAACAATAAGAATTCAGAATCAATATGTTGACATTTAATAGCATGAAAATGTCACTGCATAATACGTAAATCTGTACAATAGC